AGGTCTCCATCACCCCCTCCTGATGATCCTCTAGGAATCCATCACCCCCCCCCCATGGTCCTCTAGGCATCCATCACCCCCTCCCAATGGTCCTCTAAGTCTCCATCACCCCCTGCTGATGATCCTCTAGGTCTCCATCACCCTCCCTCCTGGTGGTCCTCAAGTCTCCATCACCCTCTCCAAACGATCCTCTCAGACTGACCTGTTTCAGGACATCTTGGATGAGCTCCTGGTAGACTTCTTGAATGGCCATGCTGAGGGAGTCCCGACCCACACCCCGCAGGCAGCGGCCAGAGTTGAAGAGCTCTAGGAACTGCCAGACGCTGAGACCCCCAGAGGTCTGAACTGCTTGAGCCTCCTGGGCCAGCAGCTCGTCCAGCTCGCCCAAGCCTATCTCCAGACTCATGCTGCCCAGGAGCTTCTTTAGCAGATACTCAACCTGGAAGGGAGAGGGAGGCCAGGTGACGTCAGCAGCGCCTCCAGAGGAGCCTGGACCAAGGACAAGGGCGTGGGAAGGCCACATACAGGTGGAAACAGGGGAGAGATTTGAGAGGGGACCTAGAACCCTAGGCATGCCTCGGTCAGCCTCCCTCTTCCCCCCGTGCTAAGTCCACCTCCTTTCCGCCATAAAATAAAAGTAGGGCCATGTGCAGCGCGGTGGTGCCACACCTTTAATCCCAGCACTCGGGAGGCAGAGGCAGGCAAAGGTCTGTGAGTTCAAGGCCAGCGTGATCTACTGAGCGAGTTTCAGGACTGCTAGAGGGAGCTACACAAAGAAACCTGTCTCAAAAAACCAAAACCAAAACCAAAACCAAAACCAAAAAAAAAAAAAAAAAAAAAAGAACTCCTCCTCAACACTCTCAACTTTGCCTATGACAAACAAGGAAGGAAGGGCCAAGGTGGAAAGCAACTTCCTTCAAGTCACAGGGCAAGTGGGAGGCAGCCAGTGCTTGGGTTTGTGATCCTGAAGCCAGTCCCCAGTCCTTGAGGTCCTTCCCTTGGGGGATAGCAATGGAATTAGGGCGGGGGGGGGGGGGGTAAGCAGGGCAGGGACAGGAAACCTAAGGCAGAGGCACAGGAAGTGGTGGTTGGGGTACATCCTGCTGCAGTTTGTTCTCACTGCAGAGAGAGCCTTCCTACTCTCTGAGGGGCCACCTTGCCCCGACTGGCAGGGACCTGGTTAGAGTCCACACTGGCCCCAGCCGTCTTGAAAGACTCTTTAGGGATTTTACTCTGGGTCTCCAGTGGCGGTTTGGTAGAAGGCCTTAGTTCAGATCTCAGCGATCCCCCAGAACTAAGAAGGCAGGGTCCAGACTCCAAGCCTCATCCCCCAGCATGCCCTACATCTTTGGAGTCTGTCTGGCTCACCAGTTAAGAGAAAAGAAACCCTCTGAGGCCAAGGCCAGACTTGGCTGTCCACCTTGCTAACCAGAGTTACTTCCTGTCTGCGAGAACACCCCGCCCACTTCCCCTAACAAAGCACCTTCCTAGATTACACGGCGCCCAAGAATCCCGCTGTTCCATCTGAATGCTCTCATCAGTGTGCTGCCCATTTGTACTGCTGCAGAACGTAAACATTTGTGGCTCACTTTCCTCCTCAGAGAACCCAGATGCAAATGTAGTTTGGCTTCTCTTAGAAGGTGGCTGAGGGACACGATGTTGATAGTTCTTTCTCTGTATTCAGAGGCAGTCAGGTGGGGCTAAGGGTCATGGAGAAAGGGGATTGGGAAGGCGCATAGACAACCTGTTTTCCTTCACAGCTTTACCAGGGGCTTGGCCCTGAGTGACTCAATCCCTGGATCTGACATCACCCTCACCTCATCGGGAACCATGATCAGTGGGTACTTGTCCTCAGACAGGAAGTTGAAGAGGCACCAGAGACGGAAGGCATCCTGATTGGAGAGCAGGCTGTTTCCATTGCTATCTGCTCGGTAGTTCTTCTTGGCCGTCAGCGTCCAACACAGCTCATCAAAGTGCTCTTTAACGAAAGCCCCCTCCTCCACCTGTCACGAGGTCCGCAGTTAGCCAGCTGCATCGTCCCTCATCCCCGCTCCATCCGTAAGCCTCGCCCTACACGCCTGCCAAGCCCAAGCCTGAACTCAAACTGGCTCAGGCACTTCACCAATATCTCCACTTCCTCCCCTGGCAAACTAGTAAACTAGTAAACTAGCTAGTAAACTTTACTAGTAAACTAGTAAAGCTAGTTCCTCAGCCAAGGGAGAAAGGAGGGGAACCCTAGGGGGCAGGACAGCCGAGGAGAACCTACACAGGGGGTGACAGATGAGACGAGTGGGGTGCAGGTTAGGGGGGCTTTGACGGGGTGCGGAAGCTAAGACAGAGGATGGGCAACGGGGGACAGGTGAGTGAGGAGGGGAGTGGAGATGGAGGAGCGAGGATGGGCAGTGTGGACAGGTGAGTGAGGAGGGGAGTGGAGATGGAGGAGCGAGGATGGGCAGTGTGGACAGAAGTGGGAGTGGAGAGCCGGAGTAGAAAGCTAGGTATTGGGGTCCTAGGGAAGGGGCGTGCCCCACCTTGTCGAGGATGTACTTGTTGAGGTAGGGCATGTAACCTTGACTGGACACAGGACCATCGTCGTCATCCCGGAAGTGCTCCTCCAGGGCCACGGGGTCATGGGGGATGTGCAGGACCGTGTACAGGTTGTGGGACAGCACCTTGGACAGAGAGACAGTTTACTTTCCTGCACCCAGTCAGGCCTTGACCAAAGGACTGATTCCATTGGCCTGTCCGTTCATCCCCACCCTGCTCTGACTAAGTTCTCTTCGGGCACCATCCACTCCGACACACAAGAGCACACTCCATACTTCCCTTCATTCGTATCACCCCCATATAGTGACGCTCCATGTCCCCAGGCGCCAGGTGAAGAAATCTTCAGGTCCTACTCATCAGCAGAGCTGCGATTCAAACCCGGGAAAAGACACCCTCTCCTATTATTTAATTATGACTTGGAAGCTTCTTTCTATAATCTGGGACTCAGAAGTTCCTGGTCTCTCAGTAGGGGAGTGAATGGGAACTTGGGATTCCAAGCTTGTGTGGCAAGATTCCAAAGCCCAGGGGCTTCCCACAAATTCTAGGCTATCTGCAGGGAGGCAGGAGGCCGTTCTGGGGCAAAACCCTTGACTTGATCACTTCTAATCATAGACTCAGTATTCAGGCTGCCATTCGCACTGCGGTGAGTCCGATCTGGGGAGGTCCCTAATGAGCAGGTGTGGGAGCTAGGGATGGTTCAAAGAATGCTCGTGAGAAATGGTTCATGAGGTGAGGAATAAGAGCAATGGTAGCCATGGGGCAGGATGGTACGTGTGGGGCAGGCATGCTGATCAGATTTATGATGCTAAAACAAAGGAGCTGAAGTTTGAACAAGAAGATTTGGTAAAGTGAAGAGAAGGGGGAAGGTTGCTTTGGGGAAATCGTTACACTGCTTAATCACAGGCAGTGTGATGACTTAAAAGCAACCACTTATTGGGTGGAGCATAATTCGGCAGAACCTTAATCCCTGCGTTCAGGGGGCAGAGGCAGGTGAACCTCTGTGAGTTCCAGGCCATCCTGGTCTACATAGAGTTTCAGGTCAGGCACAGACACACAGTGAGACTCTGTCTCGGGGGGCGGGGGTAAACCACTGCTTTATGCCTGCCACTCCCTATGTCCCAGCCACTGCATAAAGTGATTTAACAAGTATTACATTTATCCATTAAGTGTGGCCAGGGCAGTGCTTAAGCCCTGGTGTCCATGTGGAGGTCAGAGGGCAACTTTAAGGGTCCAGTTCTTTCCTTGTACCACGTGGGAGATGTTTTCAGGCTTGTCAATAAATACCTTTACCCACTAGATCATCTTTTCAGCCCAAAATTGCTTTCTTAATTACAGAAGAAGAATTTAAATGTACCATGAGCATGGTGCGCATACATGTAACCCTAGCAATTAAGTAGAGGTAGGAGGATCGGAAGTTGGAGGCTAGCCTGGGCTACACGAGACCAAATAAATAAAATATTGATGTGTTCATGTATTTGTGTGTGCAGGTGCATGAGTGTGTGCGTGTGCTTTACTGTGCTAGGGATGACCCTAGGACTTTGCAGATGTTAGGCATTCCACCACTGAGCCGCTCTCCCGGCCTCACTTCTGGAAGTCTGGCTGTGAGAGCTAGTCAGTATCATTTTCCCTTACACCATGCATGGGTCTATCCAAGTCACTGACATCTGAGTAATGATTTATGGTCCAGTCTAAGGTGCCATTGCTCAAGGTCTAGAATTTGAAAGTCCAGTGCCAGTGCAGGACACCCACAGACTATCTAAAGTGGCAGTATCTGCCCGAGCGTCTGTCTTATTCCCCTCTGCCATGTCTCTTCTCAAGGATCCTCCTTAGGAGACACTGCAAAGCCCAGGCAAAGGGCTACTCTCCGTGAGAGCTGGCGCATGGGGAGCCAGGGGCCTTCACTTCCTGCTTGTAGGGTCCTGGATAAACCCTTTTACAATCAGATCGGAGCTTTGACTTTGTTTTCAATAAAAAGGGATACCGCTGCTATGGGCCATGTGGTGTAAGGTGACAGAGGTGGAGAGCCAGGTTCAGGTCTGCACACGGTGAGTGTGAACTCCTGTCCAGGGTGAAAAGGGCACCTTTTTAATCTATTTGTCAAAGGTGAGAAAGATGGTAAGAGCAAATACTGAGGAAAGTGGGAAAACGGGGGCTTTAATAACCCACCACTAGCCAGACGGTGGTGGTGCACACCTTTAATCCCAGCACTTGGGATGTTGCAGAGGCAGGCGGCTCTCCGTGAGTTTGAGGCCAGCCTGGTCTACAGAGCAAGTTCTAGGATAACCAGGACTGTTATACAGAGAAACCCTGTCTCAAAAACAAAAAACAAGCAAACAAAAAAAAAACCCACAAAAACAAAACCCTACCACCAGATGTGAATTAGTCATCCATCTTCATCTCACGTAGCCAAGGCTGGCCTTGAACTCACTACCGAACCAAAGATAACCTTGAACGTGTTCCTTCTGCGTCTGCGTCCCAATGCCGGGAATTCAGGGAAACCAGGTGCGTGCTGCCATAACTAGCTACACTAGTTATCTTTGTGGTGTCCACAATCTATAAACCTAAAGTTGGAGGTGAGCTGGAGGGAGGGCTCAGTGGTTAAGCACACTTGCTTGCTGCCCTCCAGAGGCCCTGAGCTCAGTTCACAACATCCGCAGCAGGCAGCTCACAACTGCCTGTAATTCAGGAGGTCTGATATCATCTGCTGGCCCCCGAGGGTACCCATGCTCATGAAGACACACACACACACACACACACACACACACACACACACACACACTACCACCACCACCAAAAATTTAATCTTTTAAATTTAAATTGGATGTGAGCTTTAACTCAGCATTTTTTGTTTTATATTTACTTTTCATTTAATGAAGACCTATTTTACGCTTAATTATGTGGGGGGTGTGTGTGTGTGTGTGTGCCTACGTGTAGGTATGTGATCACAAGTGTGGGTGCTCTCGGAGGCCAGAGGAGGACATCGGTATTCTGGAGCTGGAGTTACAGGCTGTGAGCACTCTGACGTGGATGCTAGGATGCTCGGGTCTCCTGCAAGACTAGTGTGAGCTTGTAACAACGTAGGCATCTCTAGGTCTTAAATCCCTTTTTAAAGTAAAAAAGAAAATCAAAAATAAAAGGATTTAAAAACAATTTCATTTTGTGTGCATGGGTGTATTGCATGATGAATGTGTGTCTGTGCATCTGATGTAAATGCTGTGCCCAAGGAGGCCAGAAGGGGGCGCCAGATTCCCCGGTACTGGAGTTAGACAGTTGTGTGGCACCGTGGAGGTTCCAAGAACCAAACCCTATTCCCCTGGAAGAGCAGCTAGTCCTCTTAACTGCTAAGTCACCCCTAAGGAGAGAGAGAGAGAGAGAGAGAGAGAGAGAGAGAGAGAGAGAGAGAGAGAGAGAGAGAGAGAGAGAGAGA